TAAATCTTTCCATATCCCAAAGGTCAAGAACAACAGCATTTCAAAGTGGAAGAATTTATCTTTGCCTCTTAGTTTGCAGGAGTGATGTGCAGCCTAGATCATGCCTCCGGATGAAGCTCAGGTGTACCAATATGTGAGTAAACTTGTCTTGAGGGCGACAACGCCATTATTTTTCATGTACTTGTGACACTGGGCCATCTTTTGGGCTGTCTCTGGTGACCTGCAGTTACCTTGGCTGCCTTCAACCTGTTTTCTGACCTGGAAGGGAAAGGTGTTAATGAACCATACCAAGGTATTTAAAATCAGCCCTTGCATGGTCACTTTAGCTTCATAATTCCTGTAGTTACTGAAGCTACTTTGTAATAAAGATTAAAATTACCTGCACTAAACTCTCAAAAATTCCCCAGAAATTTCACTCTTCTCTGCAAATAATTTTATTACAGTGTGAGGACTGGGAAGCCCAATTGCAAAAATAAAATAACACAAATTCTGTTTCCTATTTGAGCATATTTGTATAAGTTGTCTGCCTTTGGTAATGTTGATCAGGAAGGGATATACCCTCCTGAAGGGTTATGTTATAGATACAACCAGGCACGCAACCAGTAGTGCCTGTGAAAAACAATACAGAAGATTGACATTATTTTCAAACATTACCTGAAGCTCCAAATGAAGCTTCTGGAGCACTTTTAAATTAGGTAAATATAAAAATATGCACTGTTTTATTTTAGAAGATGTCAGTGATGTTCTTAGAAAGTAGGGGGTGTTGGTCTTCTTTTTTTAGTGCTGTAGATGCTAATATTGTTGTACATAATCTTTTTTTTTAATTAGTAATATTATATACTTCCACCAAATTTTATTCAAACTACTGCTTTACTAAACAATTAATAAATAAGTGTTTTAGTTTTTCTTACAAAGGCCCTTGATGTTTTCTTGCAAAATGGATGTTTTGGTGAGTTAATTTTAATTCAAAATGTGTTTTATTCCAAAAAAGGGAAATATCTGGATGCTGAATTTTTAAGCCCCCCTACCTTACAGATGAAAATAACTCATGGAGATGAGACAATATTCATTCCAAATAGCTATGATCACATGATGATCATTGAAATGTCACATATACAAATATATAATAATTGTCAATTTTTCACTGTATTAATTGCTAATTAAAACAAAATGAACTAGCATTGCTGAAGACCATAAAAAGACCCCATCACATGGGGACATAATGTCTTTGTTTTTAGACAATAAAATAAACCACAAAGAGCATATTTCTATCATTTATGTGAAATCAAGTAGGTTAATCATTTATGATTTTTATGCTTCAAAGCTTATGTGTGCTACATGCTGTAGAGAGATCTAAACCATTACTCTAAAGCCCAATGTACCATGCATGCTCCCTGCTGCTGTAGAGTCAGCCTCATCAAATTGAGCTTTGTCTAAAAGATATTTTAAATATATTATTGGATGAAAGGTGCTGCTCGATTATGCAAAACCAGCACAATAAAGCTAGTTAGCAAAGGTACATAGCTCTTGGCATTCTTTTCCTCTGAGAGCTCAAATAATCAAGCCCAGGAATACTCACACAGAGACGTGATGCTGACCATGTATTCCAAACTAGATGTCACTGAGGTTCTGGGAAGATGAAATGTGAAGCTGTTGTAAACATTTCCACTCAAATTCCAAATCTGAAGTAATCAGTTGCCTATTAAACACATACTTGTCTCTAGCTGGGTAGCAAGACCAGGATCAAATTTGCAAAGTTAAAGGAGGAAAAAGGAAAATGCATCAATATGCCAAAGATAAGAAGCCAACTGGGATAAGTGGAAATATTGAAAAATATTGGAAAAGTATGGAACATTGAGGTCAGAAGTTCCCATATTTAGCTTGAGAATTTAGAAGAGTTTCCTTCGCTGTGCTGCCAGTCAGGATTTGCCTGCAGGTGAGCTCTTGTCTGTGGCTCAAATCAAGTTAAAAAATTGAAAGTGGTCACTGTTCCACTGTGTGGGAACATCTCCTGTCTCTGTATTTGTGTAAAAGGGCTCTAAATTACTCCTGACCAATGTCTGCCAAACATCTTTTGAATCTTCCACAGGGGAATTTCTCCATGCTCAGTCTTCCTCTCTGACATGAAGATGACCTATTGACTTAGCTAAGATTTCGTCAAAATGTTAGGTGTAATCCTCCAACAGCTTCATGTTCATTGCAGCTCCCAGCAAAGAAAGAGAGGGTTTTGTTACAAGGGCAAGGAGAGGAAGAGAATTGGTGGAATCAAGCATAAGCCAATCCACATGCAGAATAAAACCAGGTAATAGATCAGGTTATTTTCAGGGTTACCTCTAGAGCAACCTATATGCAGAATCCAACTGCATAAAGTGATATACATGTGCCATAAATAACAATGAATCTTAGAAATGTAATTTTCTGTCAGGAGTTTGAATGCTTGTGAAAGTTCATAAATAACTGATGTTTATTACCCTCCACGTGGCACTGTTGCAGTAGCTGATAATGACTGAGTAAACAGTAGATGGGATGAATTCCTCCACTGATTTCAAATAAACCTTATGAGTTGAAGCAATAAAGAATGTTAAACAGTGTGCACAAAATAACGTGCTGTTAGATACCATATATGATGCTTCAGTAAACACTAAGGCATTTTAATCTTGGTTCCAACATAGTAAACTGCAAGACAATAAGCTAAGGAAGCATGCTATTCTTTAAAACTCTTCCAAATGCTTCTGCATACTGTTACCCTGTACTTAAGACTGCTGGCAGATGCTGCTGTCACTTTCTTTCTGTGTCATTGAAATGAAATTGGTCTGAAGTTCAAATGAACATATTCATTTGTGTTGAAATTTATTATTGTAACTTGCATAATGTGTCTGTGAGTGTGGTTGCAAACTCAGCTCCTGTCCATAAGAAGTGATAAAAGACACTACAAGAGGTTTATGTGGCCTCACTTATACTACTTGTTTAAAAAGAGCACCCAAAGAAGAAGTATTCTTGCACAAGAAGCCTACAGACAAAAGCACTCCAACACACCAACAAACCGGAGCAGTCAGCCTGAAAAAACAATGCCCATCTTTGTATCAGTGGCCCCATTGGTCAGAATTCCCCCTGCACACTGTGAACCAGTTTCCAGTTCTCCTCACTGATGTGATATGTTCCATGTGCTGATTTCCATTTTCTTGAATTGCTCTGTGGGGTCAGCTGCCTCCTTTTTCATGCTGCACTATCAGCGTTAGAGATCATAGAACCATTAAAGTTGGAAAAGACCCCTAAGAACATCTAGTTCAACCACCAACCCATCCCCACCATGCCCCTCAGTGCCACATCTATCCTTTCCTTGAAAATCTCCAGATGCATATTATACTTCTCTTCCAAATACGTGCTGACATTGTGAAGAGCTATGCAGTGGTATAGGAACCAAAAGGCTGGATGCAAGTCCCATAAGATGGCAGATGGCAATGCTGGGCCTGCTGCAGACCATCCATCAACACACACAGCTCCTGCTGCACCGTAGAAGGCAGTAAGAACAAAGGTGTGTTGCCTTCTGATGACTCTGAATGAGCATGCAGTGTGTCCCATACACGGAAAGGTAAGTAGAAACCATTACACATTACAAAAATGGATGGTGTTTTCTGCTTCAAAAACCGCTACTATGTATTACAGTGTTTGATGCTGGAAGGAAAAGGAGGAGGAGGAGGTGTTTAAGTCATTAAGTACTGCTGGCTTGCAAGGCTGTAATACTTAAAATTTTAATGGAGCAATGGCACTATGAGATTTGTAATACGATGTGAAGTTCAAAGAATTGACAGTGTTTTCTGGATCTTTGCCACTCTCATTAACAGAAAATCTTTTAGTTAATAAAGTAGAAGTAGTGGTAGACACAGAAGGCTAATGACCACTTCTGTCTATTGAAGTGAGTGAACCAAAACTCTTGCGATGTCAAAAGTACACGCTTGACACATTGGTCTCTAAGGAAGGAGGAATGCTTGTAAGAGTTAGTGTAACTTGAGGTGCAGGCTCAAGGCTGCCTTGAAAATATGCAGGATGAGTCCTCTTCTACAAAATCTAGGAGATCTGGCACTTGACTGCAGATTACTGCAGATTGTAAACTCAGCTGGGCTTTACAACGGCATGATTTGGCAGTAGTTTTAAAAATAACGAGCAACTGTGCTAGCTGTATGCAGCACGCATCCAAACAAATGCAATGACCTGCTGTGATGTGCACTGGAATCTGTTCTCTTCTTTGATTTCATTTACATCACAGTGATGCAGCATGCTCCTGGGCCTAAACTGAGACTTCCGTGGCCCCTGATTCACTGAAGTGGTGATGGGTTGCCCCCTATAGGGAAGGAAAAATATATTTCAGCCACCTCTTCTGTTTACATCAGGTTTCTTTTGCTGGTTTCTGGGTGGAGCCTGGCAGGGGCTGAGTCTGGGAGTCCCCAAAGTGGCTTGTGGTAGGAGCATGTCTGAAGGATCTGCCAGGGAATGAGTACAGAGAGAACAGCCAGGGGAAAAAAAAATGGTTTCGATGCCCTAGATGTATGGGTTTATTTATTTATTTATCATCATTCATAATAAATAAGCAACCTTTTATTTATTTAATGTGATACATTTGTAGATTGAAGACCTTTGCAAAAGCAGTGCAATATTTTCGTTCCAAATAGCTGAGAGCATCACTTCACAGAAATTCAGACACTGAATTTAAGTGTCAATTATGCTAACAAAGATTAGGTTTCAGCTCTTGCAATACTTGCCTCATTTCAAGAGTTGGTGTTTGTAGTTCAACTGTCCCTATTCCTTTTTCTTTTCCATGATATTTGGCTAGCAAAGGGCTTCCATGATCCGCTTTAAGTATAACTCTTTGTGCACAAGTAGTCCGTGGGAGCAATGTCTTTTTAATCCCCATCAGTAAGGTGAGCCTAAGTGTTTTAACTGCATTCATGTGCTGCCAGCAAGTTTTATACTATTGGTACAGATGGTATGGATAAGAGTCTCTTTATCCTTCTTTTAGAGCTGAAACCTGTGTCAGTGTCCACAGTGTTTGAATAGTCTGGTTTTAATAGAAACATGAAAACGCCATATGGAGCCAGACAACCATTTCCTTCCTTCAGTGTGTTTGGTGAGTTTGAGTTTACTTTAACATGACATCTTATAAATCATGTATCGTGTAGTGACCATATAAGGTTACCTTTTATTGAAAGGATATTGATGTTGAGAGCTTGCTATGCTTGGATATTTATTAAGGAAATGAAAGATATCTAGAACATATGATATGCTTCGTGTTGCTAAACATTATTAGTTTACCAACAGAAAAGTGTTTCTTTTTCTTGCCCTCTGAGTCTACAAGATAAAACACTGAAATAAAATTTGCCCTTGAATTAAAGTCTAATACTGCGTACATCCTGTTGAAGTCACAGACTATTTGACAGCGTGTTTTGAAATCACTCCCGGCTTCATGTTTTATGCAGGAAGGAAACATACCTGTGGAGACAGCCTCAGGCAGTGGTAATTAAAATACGACTGTGTGCCACATGACCTTAAGGCATATTACTGCTTCAGCCCTTCACCTTGCAGTTGTTAAAATACTGGGCTAGGTTTATTAACAAAGCACCATCTCAGTGTAAGAAATGTGCTGGGGGAAACAGGTCTACCATCTTCCCTTTGTAGGAAGGAAGCAGTAAGTGATAGCTCAGTAAGTTCTGTGACAATGTAATATCTGTCCATTTTCTTCCCTGGCAGCTGCAGGTTGCCTAAAGCAAATGGTCCGACATAATGAATCCATCAGTTTTGGAGACAAAGCACAAATATAAAGATAGCAGCAGAATAGAAATATCTGAATATATGTCCCCATGCTCCCAGTCTCCTAAGTCCTCTGATTTTTCCTGATCTCTCACAACGATCAAATCTGAAAAATGCATCCCTGTTTATTCCTGTGTGTGATGGGCTGTTAACCAGAGTGATCTGCTGACAGTTTCAGGAAGAAAATCCTGATTATCTCCTGGGACAACCTGTGCCTTGCAGGGAGAGGTGCTGCTTTCCTGTGTGACCCCCTTACCACCCATGAAACCATTTAGATACAAATCTCTCAACCTGCATCTCATCAAGCTGTGTGATGTAAAGCGACAAGGCTTTTCAATCTGTTGAGATTGACTGTACTATGACACCAATGTTTGATTTCTTCAAACTGCTTTTAAAGAAAACAGGGATTCCCAAGCTCTTCTTATAGGCATGAAAAGAGAAAAAAAAAATGCCAACACGTTTTCTTTTGGTATCACTTAACAGGGATCTGGAAAATAACAATTCTATGTGCAAGTAATCCTTACAGTAGTAGTTCCTAATGCTGGGGAGGTAATAAATACAGTGTCTCTGCACAAGTGGGGAAGTGAAGGCTGGGAGAGCTCTCCACCACATCAGAGCCACATTGTCAGGCACAGAGCCCAGACTTGTTGAAAAGACTCAAATACAGGACTTACAGCTGTCGGAACTTGGCAGTTCCCAGTGGGAGCTGGCAGGGTTTGGGGCAGGTCTTCCAAAGTTCCCCATGCTGAATGAAGCAGGATTTGGTGCTGGTGTGGTGGCTGGTGTGGAGTTTGTTACTGGTCAGCTTGTAGGATTTGTGCTGAGCATGAGTGTGTCTTCTGTGCACTGTGCAGTCAGAACATGTTTGCTTATGAATGGGTGTGCTCTTCGGGTGGTCCTTGTTTGGTTCTCCATGCACATGTATTCAAGCCATCACACTACATCTGTAAGCAGACTTGATGGAGCAGAAGGGTAACCAGAGACAGAAGTGGCAGCAGAACAAATAAATCACATCCTACCATAGCACCTCTATAGGCAAATCCTAATGTTTGCAGACTCTGAGACGAGTAAATAAAGAACATTCAGAAGTACAAAGCATGGTTAATGACCATCTTACAAATCTGACTGTTCTTTCCTCACATTCACATTCGTTTCTTTTTGTTTTCTTTGTTGTTTTTTTTTTTTTGTGTGTGTGTGTGTGTTGTTTTTTTTTTTTTTTTTTTTTTTTCATAGAGGCTTAATCCCTTTTCATTTACATTTGATTTCCTATAAATAGCTGTGTTCTGTTTAATGTATTTATGTTTAAAGTCATGTTTACTTCAAACACAGAGAGACTTCAGATGTCATTCATTTACTTCTGGCAGGGGACTTTGGACATCTGATTTCCTCTTGTCTTATGTATGAAGCTGCTAGGAGCTTCCAGGCATTTATTCAGGCGCTGAAATGACCTGCTTGAAGCCATCACCTGACTGAGATGTCTTCCTTACCTATGCTTACTTCACTCATCTTCTTTCCTGTGCCCAGTCCTTCTTCACTTTCTCTGCACAGCACATCACAAGGACTCTGTGATTAGACACAGAGGATCTAGAACTCTATGCCAGTAACTTCTGTGGTATCCTTTGAACATCACTTCTTTGCCTGAAATAATTTAAGGCTTACTTTATTCAAGATGGATGAAGCATGGAGTTTCTTTCTTATGATTTCTGAGCTTTTAGAATTTCCTAATTGAGGCAGCTTCAACAGGCTGTGTAAATAGTTGCATTTGCACGATGGGCACCATCATCTTAGCAGCTAATGAAATCCTATACTTCTGCACCTGGGAAGTTGCTAAGTAATTGTGAATGCAGGGTCAAGTTTAGCCTTGGTGTAATTGTCATAGTTTTTGTTTTATGGTCCCAGTGTGATTGTAAGCTTCGTTTGGTCTGAAAACAAATCAAACCATTTCCTGCAGAAGCTGAATGAAATGACGTGGGGATTCATCAATCAATGTCTTTTTGAAAAGCTCATTAGAACCAGCGGCCGTTAGAGGGCAATGGCCAGAGGTTATGGTCTTAAAGCTATCATTAAGTCTGGCCTGACACACAGGTTTGTAAACCATAACTCAAGGTTTCACAGTTAGGTAAATTTACACCAGCTGAAAATCTAGCCTCCTTCTTTTGTAACGTATGATAACTATTACAATTGAAACATAGAGAAAAGCTCTCATTTTTTTTCATAGAACAAAATAATCTATCAATGTGTGTGTCTATCAGATTGACAAAAGTGCATCATTTCAGTGGTGTGATTTCCTGTTTGTTCATGTGAGGTTGCAAAAGCCTCATAGCATTAAGAAAAAGTAAAGGGGAAACAAAGTGTTAAATGTGCAGAATATTTTTCCCCCTTACTCATCTTGTTCTACTACAGCAGAAGGGCAGTGAAAAGATTAAAAAATAAGAGCCAGTCCTTAAAACAGAGTTGTGATCAGTAGAGCATAAGCAGCACTTCAGAGTAAATTTTATAGAATTATAGGCAAAAAATTCCATTCAGATATGCATCATAGATTAAAAAGAAAACAAAAAAGCGCACAATGAGTACAGTGTTGTATTTTCCAAAGGAAAATATATTACCATAGCTTAAAATGACAAAATATCAGAAAGATTTCCACTTCACGGTAGATTATTTTGTATTAGAAAACTCTAGAAAAGTGCTTTGGGCTGAGTTCAGAAGGGTTCATTATTTGATACCACCTTATATCCTGTGGTAGTAAAACAGGACTTGCATTGTCCTCTTGGGACTGCTCTGAACAAATGCAGCTTGTACAAACCCCATGAGCTTTGGGGGGACAGGATTTTGCAAGGTCAGTTCATTATGGCCTTTTTTTCCTCTGACACTCAAACTTGAATGAGTTGTTGAGTTTCACTCCAGACAAGGACTGTTCAGTGCCTTTTTTTTTTTTTTTTTTTTTCCTCCATCAGGTTTTGTTCATCAAAATGAGTGAAAGGGGGCTCATTCCCCTGTATATCTTAGTGAGCCCAAGTGAAAAAGAATAAAACAGCATTTATCTAAAAATGTATTATGGAGTCTGCCTGCTGATGCAAAAAGAAAATTAGCACCTTTGCTGATAACTTGGATTGCCTTTACTCTTATGACATTTGCAGCAGTAATGATTCCTTTCTGTGAAACAACACTTTCTGAGGAAGATTTTAATTAGAAAGTTTCTTTTATTTCCCATTGTACTCATGGTACCAAAAGGAAACATGTCAGTGTCCCTTCCATGAATTTATCACATGCTTTCTGCTTTTTATAAAAAATGGATATCTGACACTGAAGAAAGGTACAGTTTTGTGGATTGCCCTCTGAAGCTATACTGCATTGTGTCTGCTTCATTCTTCTCTTCATTCTGACCGATTTGTGTGTTATACTGGGAAGCTGTAAATACGAGAATAGAATGAAAATAATTCAGAGTGCCCTTTAATAATGGTCTGGAGTTGTGTGTTTGCTGTTCAATGCACATGAAGATTTACAAAGAGACATTTTGGAGACACATAGTGCAGAACAGATTGACCTAACTGTATTTCTGATGCAACCAATTTGTTTCTATAAACATAAACTTCTTCCAGAATATGAATCAAGGAAGCTGTCAGTGAGCTGAAGTTACTTAAGCATTAGAGGAGGCTTCTGGTATGTTAGTCTTTGTGGCAATAAAATCTCCTTAGGGAATGAAAGCAAATTTATGACCTATTACTACAACATGTTTAATGTTTTCAGGCCTATCTCTGAGTCTAGAAGACTTTTTTTCTCCCTTGCAGTTGAATTTATTAAACATATCTAGATTGAGGTATCACAGAATTCATGGGATTATAGAGAAGTGGATTGGGAGGGGATCTCTGGAGGTCACATAGTCCATTCCTCATGGCAGGACAGCATACGGCTGTACATGGATCTCCTCTGAGTGATGTAGGCTCCATGGCAGCCCTAAGATCTCTATTTGATCATTCTTTAGAACACCAAAAAGTTTTTCCTAATGTCCAACCTAAAACTTTCTTGCTAAATGATAAAACATTTCATTTTTGTCCTCTCCAAGCAAGTTACAGAGAAAAGACTGTTTGCTTTCTCTTTAAAACAACAGTTTACAGATTTGAAGATCACTGTTGCATTTTGTATTAGTCTCTCTAGGATATGAAGCCTACCTGTTTCTCCTAGATGTCCAGATTTCTGGTCATTCCTGTTGCTCTTCTTTCAACCTCATTGGCCCACATGTTCCTTGGAGTTAGTTGAGGAAAATATAATTTGGATGTAATACTCTGAAGTCTTGCAGGTATCGAGTAAAGGAAAAAACTTATATTTTTCTTAATCAGGGCGAAAGTTCTTATGTTTTTATGTTCATCTTTTGACCAGCTGTAGAACCCAGATTCTTACAAAGTAGTACCAAGCCAATTATACCAATTATACTTAAATTATGTTAGAAACTGTTGGTTGCTTGTATAACATAGCAGTCACCTCACTTGATTTGCATCCTATTCTCGGAGACTATTTCAAAATGATAAAGTTCCTCTGCAGTTCTTGTCCTCTTTCAAAACAGATGCAAAATGGCTTCCACCAAAGCGAAGTTTAATAACACCACACTCTTTATCATTCAGTTCATTCACAATGAATAGTAAGAGGTGAGGAGAGACCTTTGTGGAATCCTCTTGCAGCAGCATTTGACAATGAACCATCAGAGATTATACTCTTCAGTGCGGCCTTCTGAATAGTTTTGCATTCACTCCCTAGTAGTATTCCCTAGTCCACATTTTTTCTCTTATTTATCAGAATGCTATATGAGACAGTGTCAGAAAACTTACCAGGGTCGAGATATATGATACTGACTGCTTCTCCCATGCCCACAAGGTCTATTATCCTGTAGGGGAAGGAAATTACATTAGTGTGACACAATTTGTTCTTGACAAATCCATGCTGGCCATAACTCATTTCCTAGTTATCTTCTGGATGCTTACAATAGGTTTTTGATTATTTTCTCCATCATTTAAAGTAATATAGTTAGAAGAGTTGTCAATTAAACATCTTTTTTATGCATCTTGTTGCACATTCGTTACCTAAAACTACACAACAATGTAAATTTTATCAATTTGCCCTTTTTCTAAGAATGGTAGAAATGAAGTTGCAGGTCTTTTTGCTCCTTGCCAGGAAAACATGTACCTTCTGGGAAGAAGTCTATTTTCTGATTCCAGCCTTTTCCTGAACACATTTCTCTTTTTCTTTCTCTCTCTCTCTTTGTTTTGATGGGGGAATTTAATCAAGTAAATTGGAACTCATCAAGCTGAATATACTCCTTCAGTTTCATTGGCAGCAATCAGGTTTTGCCCTATGTAACAAAGGGTGCAAGTCCCTCTTCACCTGGGTGTTGGAACCAAGAGGACTTGCTTCAATGTCCTCTTCTGGCAGAAGTGGCACTATTATATAGTCCCACTGGGAAAGTACTGATGCTCTTCACACAGCAGTCAGTAGAGAGGAAAACCAGTTGCTGCAAATGGGGGACCTGGCAGCGTGGTTCCAGGAACAGGGTTACTGGGATGCTGGAAAGGAGGAATTAGAAAGAAAGGGAACAGTAATAGCAAATAAACCCCTAAATTATTTTACTTTGTTTTCAACCCAGCAAGCAGGAAACCTGTGAGATTTCATCTGGCAGTCACTGTTTCCTAAACTTGCTTTTCTTTAATCATCTATCAAGATACACACAGGCCATAAGGCTTGTAAAAGCTCTTTGTTATTTATTTCTTTCACTAATCATCTCTGGTTAGTATTTATTGCATGATGTGGCAGGCAGAATAGAGTGACCTTTCCCTTTATCCACATTTCCCCCACTCTCTCTGGAGAAGGAGGTGGATGTGGTAGGTATCTCAATGAATCTTCCAGACTGTGCCAAATTCTAAAGCCACCTGCTGTGATCTAAGAGTTTAATACCAGAACCACATTGCAATACTTTCTAATAGATCTCCACTAACTGGTCTTAATCAAGTCTAGAAATGTTCCACCTTTTCTCTGAAAAAGGTTAAAAAAAAAAAAAAAAAAAAAAAAGCAACAACAGAGAAATTGAATTATATACGACCTTATCCGCTGCTAAGGGCTTTTATTGGGTATTGCCCTGCATAGAAACTTTTAAATTGAACATACTGGTATTGCTGCCCAGTTTCAATGAGATAAGTGTCGAGCTAATTGCATGTAATCCTTTCTGACAGACACATCAGGCATTTAAAACACAAATGCTCAGATTAAATGCGAATCAGGTGGTCTACTCCACATCCAGGCAAGTGAATGAAGGTTTCCTAGACTAGAGTCTAGATTGTGCAAGTTTTAAGATGTGCTCCTAGACATAGAGGATAGAGAACATCTTATACTACCATGTTTCTGAAGCTTTCCATATTTAGCAGAAATCATTAACCATTCCTTTGTTAGAACAGCCTGCTCATGAAAGGAAGTTCAAATAATTTTTTTTACTGCTTCCAATGTGTTTTACAAAAGGAAAATGCAGCTGTTTGTGCAAATGCTTTTGTACATGAACTGAACTGTCACTATTGCAACTTTAGCCAGCTGTAGAAAAATATGAAGAAATTATACCTGGTCTTTTTAATTAGTTTTCTTTAATTTACCTGTTTAATTGAAGTAATTCCTATACTGTTCTTGCTATAGTACAGAACTTCATCTCCTTATTGTTCCACTTCCCATAATTTTTCCTCCAAGGCTTTGCAGGTGAAATATTCCATTGCATGAAATAAAATATGTTTACTTGAAGTTTATGTTGAGCTGCAGTGAATTTGCAGCTATCTTCTATAGGAAGCTAACGAGCTTTCTGGTTTTCTCTAGAAAAATATGCCAGGCAGTTTAGAATATAGATGGATTACAATGAGAGTTTTGGATGAGTATCAGAACCAAAAAGAATTAACAGTAAATGGTTGATTTGACATGTTGCACTTATTTTCCCCAACCATGTTTAAGTGGAACAGCAACATTCTCTGACTTGCTTCTTGTTGGTGTGTTGCAGACTTGAAGAAACAGTAGCCTGGATTGGTCCTTGATATGTAATTACTTCATGAAGCACTGTACACAGGACTACAGGTGAGACTTAAACTGCTCCTTTTTCTCATACTCTCCTATATGAAATGTGGCTGCTTCTGACTAATACACTGGTACACCATAAAGAAAGAAGAACAGCCCACTGCTTTGGTCTCTAGCTGGAGGTGGCTTGGCTCTCCTTGTCCATCTGTAAGTCACCTGCTTGCTTCAGTGTCTGTTGCGGTGAAATTAATGGGATTAATCATAGTAGTTGTCAGTCCTGAGGCCAAAAACGGGAAAGGGAGGATGCTTGAGGTCTCTGGTACAAATAATAGCTTTGAGAAAGTGAGATTAATTCTTCACTGTTTCTTCGTAACACAAGTATTGGAGTCATTCACTAAAGTGATCATCATTAAAAAAGGCAAAAGAGAGTTTGATTTTTGTTACATACATCACATGGTTAAAATGCGCACTTTACTTTGGGAGGGAGAGTCAAAAGTACAGATAGGTGAAAGAGGGTCATGTAGGACAAATCCTTTAACAAGACTGTCAACACAACAGTCCAGCTGCATCTGCAGCTTTTGCAGGGAAATGAAAACCTGGCTATCAGAAGCTCTGAGGATGCAGCAGGGAAAGATCATCCTTTTTTGCCTCCTAGTCTTTTACTTGCTCCCATATCACTGGCTTCTCTGGCACAGAAGGGGAGCTTTCTACTTGAATCCTGCACTCAGTCCAGGATACTGGTGGTACTGATAGGAATAGAGGGTGGTTGGTCTAGATGATCTTGCAGGTCGTTTCCAACCTTGTGATTCTGTGATTCTGTGATAGTGTAGTTCTCAGTGGATATGGACCATGTATTCCTGTGAGCAATTCACGAGCTGGCCTGCGTGCCTACAAGAAGTCAATGTTCTCTGGGCTAAAATGCATGACAAAATTAAATCATTTTTAAATTGGAGTTAATGCTAATAGGTATTTTTCCGTAGAGCTCATCACGTTCTGTTTCACATGCGAGTCTCTCTCCTTGGTTCATGAAAAGCAGTCGTTTCTTTAACCTTCTTTTTAAGTAGGTTTTTCCTCTCATTTCCTCTATGTCTGAAATACCTGACCACAGTTCCTGGTTATTATTATTGTAACACCTATAATCATACTAATAACTGTCTTCATTTGCACAGCACCATTAGCCAAGCCTCCCAGCCAAGGAAGGAATTGCATCTTTTCATTAGGATAGTAACAGTCTGAAGGCATTATAGGACACAGCGTTGAGTACCACCAGACATGGAATTGAGCAGGTAAGCAGTGTACAGACATTAGTCCTGGAGGGCTTATCCAGAAGAATTCTGGGATTTCTCACAGGAAAAGAGAGTGAGCCTTTGAGAAACGTGCTTTGTGACACAGAGCAGTGCATGCTTATGTGTATGTGTCTTCAAAGGGCAAAGATCAGCTAAATGGCCAGCTCACCTGAATGCCAGTGACTGTTGGATACCTGAATGATCTTTGAATGGCTAGCAGGCTGCTTGTTTGTGGGGGTGGAAGGGACATGGCCCTTACTCATGTGGATAAGCTCAAGAACATGTTAAACAGCTATGTGTATTTGTTTGGGTTATTATTAGTGCCCTAGGTAAGCTCGGTGTCCAGCATGATAGTACAGAAGCTTTGTTCAATGTGTATGGTATGTCACTCATACAAGTCTCTGCTCTGATCAGGGTGACCCTTCCTTTGTTTCAGTGTGACACCTTGTGTTCTCTGTGGTTGTTCAGTGATTACACGAAGGCATTATGCTGACATCCAAGCCTATGTTACCATCATTAATAACAATAATACAAAAATGGCATGCTGTTTTCTGCAGTGCTTTAAGGCTACTTGCAAATTAAAAGTCAGCGGTGAGTGCAACAGGCTGCTTTCTCAGCAGTGTTGGCAGTGCAGAGCACAGAGCAGCAGCTTGGCCCCATCCATGCCTGTTCACAGATGTGTTTGTCTGGGGAATGAAAGCAGAAACCAGCGCACTTCAAGGCTTCCCTGTGGTTCAGCCTGCTCCTTGTTGTTGACAGTGCTGTTTGATGCCTTCTGGGTGCATGTAGCCATGGGATAGGGTTATTGACATGTTTAATAATAACACAGTAAAAGGATATTTGGAGGAGTCATGTGGAGGGTGAAGGTCTACAGAGATCAGCTCCTGGTAGGACAGCAACTTCTTCCTGCAGTGCTGTGAAGGTCACCTTTGAATCTCTGGTTTGTAGTGCAGCAAAGTTTGAGGACAGCTTCCTTGACCTCAGTATAAGGCAGCTTTTCTACCATATGGAGAAAGAATGGCAGCACCTCTGACTTTGTTCTTCACAGTTGCTCCCTTCCCTTCCAATAAGAAAGAAGGGGACAGACTCTTTCTTTAGCAGGATCTGTTGTGATAGGACAAGTGAAAATGGTTTCAAACTAAAAGAGGGGGAGACTTAGACTGGATAGAAGGAAATAGTTGTTTAATGATAAGGGCGGTAAGGCAGTGACACAGGTTGCACAGAGAAATGGTAAATGCCCCATCCCCACCCATGGTCAGGCTGGCTGGGTCTCTGAGCACGTGATGGAGCTGTAGGTGTCCCTGCTTCTTGCTAGGGGGCTGGACCAGATGGCCTTTAAGGGTTCCTTCCAACTCAAATAATTCTTTGATTTTATGATTCCTGCACCAAGCTCCTCTCTGGAAGTGATGGCTCCTGGTTCTGCTCCTTGTCAGCGTATTGCTGCCTGTCTCTGCTTTTGGTTTAGCTAGAGCTTTGCTTATTATTCAATCAAAACTCAGCAGGAGTTTTTGCTGAATTATTGTAAACTCACTGGGGTAAAAGCTGTGCCTTCTTACTCAGCAGTGGGAGACCACGCACATTGATTGTTGCTGGGAGAAAATAAAAATGAATATGTTCTCATTGATTACATGTGTTCTTACTATGAGACTCATTGCACAGCCCCGGTGTATGTCTGTTTTCTCTTTATTACTATTAGCAATAAATCAACTACTTTTTTTTTTTTTTCCTCCTCTTTTCTTTTTCCTTTCCCTTTAAGTAATCTAATGTTCTGCAAAATGAATTTGAATAAGGAGAGTTGACTGTAAAATAACTTGTGGGAACGTATGATAAGCTGCCTTAACTTCCCAGTCATGCTAAAAATCCCCCCTTGACGTCTGAAACCCAGACAGTTCCTCCCAGATGCAATTCAGATGGTCTGGACCCAACAGACACAAGTTTTGTGCAAGTTTTATACACTTCATCTAATGAATATGCAATTTTTTTCCAATGCAATTGTGACAAATGGTACAGCTGGGGACCAGACATTGAGAGCAGTGCTTTTCTTCCAGCCTAGGAAACTACAGATATTTGCTTTGTTCCAGGTATATATTGGACATTTCTGAATTTTAAGCACTAAACCATTACTTATTATTTTATCTTGTGATCCTCTGTTTCATGTCACATATCTGCTACAGACAATGGCATTGAAAAGCTTAAACACACTGTTCTGACTTAAATTCCTGTTCTCTGGAGAGCAAGTTGTTGGTTTATGAGCAGGAATTGAGCAATCCAAGAGCATGATGCTTGTATTGCCATATTAAATTGAAAGCAAAGAGCTGTAACTAGGGCTGACATTTCTGTCTGTCAGCCACACACAACAGATATGAACTGAGAGCAAGCTGGAGGGAGGCAGAAAAGGGTGAAAAGGGCACTCTCCCAAAGCAGAAGGGAGCCAGATGGAGTGACACCACAGATATGGATTCAGTGTTTGGGACTGTGCAATGGCTCTGTAGAAGGAAACAGAAAACGGAAGGATCTGAATATCAATGGAAATGAAAAGAAAAAAAAACATAATGAAGAGTAATGGACAAGACAAAAAGAAAGATTATGCCTGATACTGTGGAAGAGATACCCTGCTGTTGACATCTGCTCGGCTCAGGAGGAGTCTCCCTCAGAAAGATGTTGAAATACTCTCGTTCAACACATTTAAAAATAGACTAAACAAACCTCAGTGAGCCAGACTCTCCTCCTCATACTCACACAGGGCCATAACTCATGCCTGCATGTCCTTTGAAGCCTGGGAACCCTTGTAGAATGAGAAGGGCTGAGCTGGATGCAAGGCAGAAATCTGGTCCTAGGTCCTGCATTGTCACAGACATGGATCAGATGAATGATTGTCTCTTTTCAGGTCAGAAATGCCACACTGGCACATGGCTTCCTGCAAAGACATGAACTCAAGGAAGAGACTTAAAGCAAAGCATGTGTCAAAGGGCTTTGCAGAAGCTGCAAAGCTTCTGGGCTCTGCACAGCAAAACACAGGAGCACCCACTTACATCCAATCTCGGCAGAGCCCTGATAAATGCATAAATGAACTTTTTTCCTTCTTACACAGTTCTGTGTGATGACAGTATCTCTACAATCTTCAAGAGGAAGTAATCATCTGCTGATAAACATCTCCTCTCCAAATGTACATAGTAAAAAGACACATTCTTTTGTATATATTTAATTACAGGAGAACAGATTTTGTCCAAATAATTAGGTAATTTAAACTATGCAGTCTTTCCCAAAGAACTATATTTAACCTTCATTTGAATTTAATTTCCACATCACAGTGCCCCTTAAGCAGTTCTGTAAGTCAAAACAGTGATCAAATAATTTTTAAATGTCAAATGTTGCTTAATTGTGGATAGCGCTGAATTTGTTTTAAGAGATAACAGCTTTTGATCTGCTGCTATTTTTCGTCTGTCCCATTGTCATGTTTCTCTTCATCAAAAGTTTCTGTCAACTGTTTAATCCATACAACACCCGACTTTCCAGACAGCTGAAGATTTCAAAGAAGAAATGTGAGGAACCCTTCAAAAGTTTGATGAAGTATTAAACAGGATGTGGATTAGTGTCTTGCTACTACAGACCCCAGCACTTGCAAGAGGAAGAAAAAATAATTTTTTTAAATTCAATTATTATTAAGGGATTATAATGTTTTTGCCTGAATTAAAGGATAGTGCTGTAAAGAAAAAAATTACAGCATTAATATAAATCAGCATAACTTTATTGGCTTTAATACACCTATTCTGATCTGCACCACTCAGGATCTGGATCCTTACATCTAAATGTATCTTTCGCTGCATGGAAGTAGATCATTTTTCTCCTGCTCTTCCCTATTGTTTTGCCCCAGTAAATTATATATATTAGGTTCATAAGCAGTGCAGTGAAAGTAAACAGGAAGAGAGTCTCACAGTTTGAATGAATTATAACAAAAACTACAGTAGGTCTGACCTACATTAAACTAGTTCAGTAGAACAATCTATACACAAAGTGGCTTGTATTTCAAGGTTGGCTCTAAGGTTGGTTCTCAACTTAGAAAAAAAGGAATGAGTCCAAAGAATCACAATAGTCTCATCGGTCTCTTTGAAACAAACAAAAGCCAATGTACACTCCACAGCTCAGTCATAAAAACAATAGAACAGGAAGACTTTCCTGTAACAGCATCTCCCACTGGGCGATAGCAGTTGAAAGTACTTACCATGATTATGATTAATTTCATTAGTGCTCGGTTCACTTTAATACTTTTCTCCCTCTATCTCTGAATGCAGATAATTTTTCCCTGCAAGTAAATCCAGGGTGACAGTTTAATAGGCTCAGACATGCTTAGATCCGAAATGAGACTGTAATATTAATATACTATTGACCAGTTATAGATTAAGCAAACTGAGGGCACACTTAAGTAAATGACTTCAGAGGGACAAGTTAATGTGCTAAGTGGTTCACAGGCAATGATTAAAAATATTCTTCATTTACTTGGAAATTAATAGGTTTCTTTAATTAATCTAATAAAGCCACCCTGTGGTACATTACATATTTGGTGCATGTTTTAAAATATGATGCTGAGTTGCTGGATCTGGAAATCCCTGTGCTGCTTACTGAAAAAAGGAAACAGTCATATACAAAAGCAGTCTTGCATATGGCTAGAGTTTCCAACAAGCCATCTTCTTTACCACAAGCAGGATTACTTTGCATGAAGGGTGTTAGGAATCTCAACGTTAAGCAATCAACAGCACCAGCAATTCCATGTGTGAATTGCAGAATCATCCAAGTATCTTTGGGGATTATTAATGTATTTCACAACTGCATCCAGTCAAATGAGCATTTTTCTCCAACAGTCTTTCAAATCCAGCCGATCAACCAACTGAAAGAAAACAACTTCAACAGAATCT